ACCCCAAAGGGAAATGAGATGGAACACTCTGATACTCAACCACCTGGACCCACTGAACTGGCAACAAAAGGGGATCCGGAAAAAATGAAATCAGAAATAGTTTCTCAGATAACAGGAGAAATTGTGTTCCTAGTGCAAGACATGATTAATAAATCTAGAGAGGAGCTCAGGAACTTGTTGGAATCCCAACATAGGAAACAAATGGAATCCATAAAACAGATGCAAATAGATTTCCAGGAGATGAAAAACTCCATTGGAATAAAAAGGGCGAAACCACAACAGATCCTGCAGAAATCCAGGTCATTAATACTTACTTTGAGAATCTGTACTCTAATAAAATGGAAAATCAGAAGAAATGGACAGATTCCTGGATATCTATGAATTACCAAAGCTGAATCAAGAAGATATAAAAATTCTAAATAAATTAATATCAGTTAATGAAATTGAAGTAATTTAAAAACTACCAATAAAGAGAAGCCCAGTAGGGCTGGAGGTCCCATTTGACCCAGCTATTCCCCTGCTGGGTATTTTCCCAAAAGAATTAAAAGAATCATACAGAGATATATGTGTACCCATGTTTATAGTGGCCCAGTTTGTAATAGCTAAAGCTTGGAAACAGGCCAAGTGCCCATCAACTGGAAACTGGATAAAGAAGATGTGGTTTTTTTATAAAACGGAGTACTACTCAGCCATAAAGAATGAGAAGCTAGAGTCATTGATAGCTAAATGGATACATATTGAGGCCATACTTTTAAGTGAAAAAAATAAGACACATGTGTAAATAGCGAATAGTTTCTCTAGTGTGAGAAACTGAGAGTGCAAATAAGGATTAAAAGGATTAATAACTAACAATTGATACTTTCAAATAGGAAAAGGTCCAAAGGGGTAGGGGTAGTGGAAGGAGATGGGAAAAGGGAAGAATGGAGAGGAAAAATTATGAGAAAAGAAAAAAAAATGGAAATGAAGTATGTAAATAGGGAAGGGTGGAGGGGTGAAGGGAGCACAGGTAATGGGGAAAAAATAAGAACCAAGATACATCGTGTTCAGGTACAAGCACCCAAAGATAAATGTGAATGTATTATATACCTAAAATGTACCAATAAAAGAATTTAAGCAAAAAAACAAAAAAGAAAAGCTCATGTTCTGATGGATTCACTGCTGAATTCTACAAGCCAATGCCACCACTCTTCAAACTCTTTAATAAAGCTGCAAAGGAAGCAGCACTCCCAAACACATTCCCGGAAGCAAGCATTAACCTGATAGCAAAACCAGAGAAGGATCCAACCAAAAAAGAGAACTACAGGCCAAACTCCTTAATGGACATAGATGTAAAAATCCTTAATAAGATACAAACAGAATGCAGCAAATAAGAAGATTATACACCTTGATCAAATAAGATTTATCCTTGGGATGCAGGGATCGTTCACCATATGCAATCAGTAAATGTAATACACCACATTATTAGAACCAACGACAAAAACCACATCATCTCAACAGACACAGAAAAGAATCTGACAAAGTCCAACACCCATTCATGATTTTAAAAAACTGTATAGAAAATTGGAATAGAAGGTCTTTATCTCAATTTGATAAAAGTCATCTATGACAAACCAACAGCCAACATGTTACTAAATGGTCAAAAACTGAAAGCTTTCACTTAAATGAGGAACAAGACATGGGAGCCCACTGTCACCACTCCTGTTCTGGAAACATTAACCAGAGCAATTAGACAAGAAAAAGAAATAAGGATGGGAAAGGAAGAAGTTAAACTATCATTATTTGCTGATAACATGATACTTTACATATAAGACCCCAAAAACTTCACCAAAAAATTCCTACCATTAATAACCAAATTGGTGGGCTGGGGATTTAGCTCAGTGGTTTCACCGCCTGCTGCGCAAGCACAAGGACCCGAGTTCGATCCCCGGTACCAAAAAATTAATAAATAAATAAATTTTTAAAAATAAAGTAAAATAACCAAATTGGAAGTATAGCAGGATTCAAAGTCAACCCTCAAAAATCAATAGCATTCCTGTACACAAATAACAAACTCAATGAGAATGAAATTATGGGAACACCACCTCTCACAAAAGCATCAAGAAAAATGAAATACTTAGGAATCAATGTAACAAAGGAAATGAAAATTTTATACACTGAAAACTATGGTACTCTGAAAAAGATGATCAAAGAGGATATTAGAAAACAGAAAGATATCTCTTGTTCTGAGATGTCAGAATAAATATAGTGAAAATAGGCATGCTTCCAAAACTGTTATACAGATTTAATACAATCCAAATCAAAATACCAATAGCATACCTCACAGAACTAAAGACAACAATCCTAAAATTCATATGGAACCAGAAGAGACCTAGAATAGCAAAAGCAATCCTGGGCAACAAGGGCAAGGAAGGAGGCATTACAATATCCAATTTGAAGTTATACTACAAAGCTACCATGAAAGAAAAAAAAAAACAGACTCAAAGATCAATGGAAAAATAACAGATGATACAGAAATAACACCAAGCACATTCAGCTACCTTATCTTTGACAAAGGCACCAAACACTTTCACTGGAAGAAAGCCTCTCCAATAAATGGTGCCAGAAAAACTGGCTTTCTACATGCCAAAAATTGAACCTAGACCTACATCTCTCACCATGCACCAAACTAAAATTGAAAGGATCAATCAAAAATCTAAATATAAACAAGAAACACTCAATCTGTTAGAAGATAGAATAGGTAAAACTCCCGAAGACATAAGTGTAGGCAAAGACTTTATGAACAAAATCCTGATTGCACAGGAAATACTACAAAGAATCAACAACTGGGATCACACAAATTAAAAAGTTTTTGCATAGAAAAAGAAACCACCAACAGAGTGAAGAGGCAACCCATAGAATAGAAAAAAAAATTTTATCAGCTATTCCAGACAAAGGAATAACACCTAGAATATATAAAGAATTCAAAAAATCAGGACACCCCGCTCCCGCCGGCAAATTTAAAGACCCAATCCAAGAATGGGTATCTCAAATCAATAAATACTTCTCAGATGAAAAAGTAAAAATATCAAATAAATATATGAAAAAATGTTCAGCATCACTGGTCATTCGAGAGATGCAAATTAAAACAACGCTGAGAAAAAAAATAAAATAAAACAATGCTGAGATTCCATTTCACTTCAGTAAGAATGGCTACTATCAAAAATTAACCAAAAGCAAATCCTGGTGAGGCTGTGGGGAAAAAGGAACACTTTTTTTTTCCGGGGGGGGGGTATCAGGGATCAAACTCCGGACCTTGCACTTGCAAGGCAGGTGCCGGAACCACTGAGCTAAATCCCCGGCCCTAGGAACACTTTTCCTTGGATGTCAGGAGTGTAAATTGGTACAGCTATTGTGAAAATCAGTACAGAGATTCCTCAAAAAAACTAAAACTTAAGTGGTTCCATTTGACCCAGATGTGCCCCTTTTTGGTATCTTTCTGAAAGAGTTAAAAGCATCATACCATAGTGATATATGCACACCCATGTTTATAGCAGCACAATCTCTAATAGCTAAATCTTAGAAATAGCCCATATGGCACCAACAGATGATTACATAAAACGTGGTATTTATGTACAACGCAGTACTACTCTGCCATAAAGGATAGACTGGAGTCATTTGTAGGAAAATGGATGCATTTTGAGACCATAATCTTAAGTGAAATAAATTGGACACACGAGTTTAAATATCACATGGTTTCCTTGTGTGAAAAACCCAAATGGTACATAAGGACTATGATGGAAATTAGATATTGGGATGTAGGATGAACATGTTCAAATTGAAGGGGGACAAGGGCATGGGGAGGGGGAAGGGAAGGAAGGGAGAAGGAAAAAAAAGAGAATGGAAGGAAAAAATGGAAACAAAGCTTTTGAACATGGGAGGGGAAGAAGTGTTAAAGGGAGGAGAAGGGAATGGGAAAAAAGGACAGATATATTATGTATAAATACAAATCCTCTGCAATGACTGTGATCAATACATATGACAAATATGTACTAATAAAGCAATTTGATCTCAAATTAGAAATAATCTAATTTACTAAAAATATTCAATATAAGGAGAGAGGAGAGGAAATCCCCCCTCTCCCAACAGCAGGGTCCTCAATTGGAGGCATTTTAGATAGGTAGTTGTATGAGGATAAAAATCAATCTTATTAATGGGACTTTGAATTTTAAAAAAAGATAAATGTTAAGGGAAAAAAGGATAGAGAAAGCTATCATGGCAATGAAACCATATTTTTCTAAATCATACATACTTACAGAGTGCTTACAGTCATTCAATTGCATTTGGAGACCCCTGATTTTGTCAAGCTCCTTTTTCATTTCATTCGTATTTCGTTTGAATTCCGAGACCTCTAGGCGAAGTGAGCGACGCTCTACTTCCGCTGCATGCAGTCTTTGTGTGAATCCAAATATTTGCTTTTGTAATGATGCTATGCTTTTCTGTTGTCAAATAAGAGCAAATTTACAAGCAATAATATAGGTTTTAAGATAAATCAATAGCAATAACCATTTTACTAAATCAAATGTAACTTAATTATCCAAAAAATGAAACCTCTATTACTGAAACAGGTGAAACCTTTATTTTTTTATGTGATCAATAATTTGGCTTATATGAAATGAACACCTGGTGTTAAAAAAAAAAACTAGATGGCTAGAAAACAGAATTGACAATTGTGGGGTCAATTCTGTCGCAGTTTACTGAAAGAGAAGAGTATACAATATTTAGAACACCAGGACTTTGTCAGAAGTGTTTTAATTTACTCCATTAAAAGTTTACATGACATCTAAAGAAAATCTAAATACATTCATGTACAACTAACGCAAACTATAAATAAGTCCCATTCAAAATTAAATCCATGAGTCCTAAAGTCATTATTAAATGAAACTATATACATACCATAATGGGAACATGGCCACGCAATCCATATTTCGGGGCCAGTGTGTTTACTTTATGAAGTCCACGGGTCAGCCTCTGAACCAAGGAATCTTTTTCTACATATGTAATACTCCTGCTACTATGCAAAGGTATACTCTCCATTGCCAGACTAATTTTATCCATGAGTTTTGCAAATGAATTCTTGGCTGTGCTTATGAGTAAATGACCACAAATTCTGGAGTTTGGATCTTCAAAGAAAAAAAGCACAAAAAAATATGAATTGTCTCTTGTTCATTTCACAAGACTGCGGATCACAATATGATGAAAATATTTTTCAGTTATATAAATCCCATTCGCCTGTAGTAATTCATTCAAAAAATTCCCTCCCACATTAATTTTCACAATTAAAAGAACACAGAAAACAGATCACCAACCAATGTGTCTAAAGAAAATGTGCATGTATGTCATTCGCATGGGGCACTACGACACTACAAATGCATCACTCTTTGTTTTAAAACCTTATGGAAGTTGATTTTCCCTGTACAAAAACTACAGCTTTTTACCGTAATGTCATACTACTTATATTTCTCAGATAAGAAAATATAATTTGCTTCATTTTAAAGCAATTAAAATTTTACAACTACAATTACCTATTTCCTCACAGGATTTTGATAATCATCCCTCACACAGGATGAGCTTGAGGTCCCAGCATATCCAGTATGGCCTGCTTACTGCTAGACTCATCAGGTATGTAATTAATAATTATGTTTAATGTTGATAAATAAAACTGTCAGTGCTCTTTCGACTAATTGGCATTCCAGATAATGGTTAATAGGTTTATTTATGTCTTCATAAAAGTCATATAATTTAGTTTTCCCTCTGCTAGGTAGGTCTTAATCTGTCATTACTTGTCTTATGATACCATCCATATAGAATGGCAACATGGAGAGATTATTTAAATTCAGTAATATAGCATACTACATTTCAAGAGGTTCTGCTGTTGAAGTACATTTAAACCTTGTCTTTATATCATAAGCACAAAAAACAAATTGAGATACTTTTATTCAATAAAAATATCTTTTTTAATTGTAAGATCACATATGGTTCAATACTAAAGAGCAACACTGACTGAGTAGTTGTCCAATCAGTTTTCTGTAGCATAGAGAAATGCCTTAAAGAGACCCTCTTTTATCAACTTTGAGATTTATTCTGTTTCGTATATTCCCCAATGTATAAAAGGAAAGATAAATTTTAAAATTTACATAGCAGCCAAAATATGAAAAACATACTACTTCAAAATTGTTAACTGGATAAAAAGTATATTTTTCATGTAAAATTTATTTCTATCAGTTACTGATGCACTAACATCTAAGAACATAAGGTAATGTAAGTTTAATTCCACATACAATTGATTGTAAACACTCTTGAGAATCACATGGACAAAAGACACACAAGGGCTGGGGATTTAGCTCAGTGGTTCTGCCACCTGCCTCACAAGCACAAGGTCCAGAGTTTGAACCCCAATACCAAAAAAAAAAAAAAGGCACACAAAGTATAATTAAAACACACAGTTCTTTCATTAACAGATTTGTTAGTGAATGAAAAAAAAATTTAGTAGCTTTACATAGCAATCAACATATAATGCAGACCACTGAGTCAAGTGAAATATACTACTATTCAATAAATAGCTTAAGGGGCCGGGGATTTAGCTCAGTGGTTTTGCCGCCTGCTTCACAAGGGCAAGGACCCAAGTTCGATCCCCAGTACCAAAAAAAAAAAAGCTTAATGTTGACTGAATGACCCCCAGTAAAATTTATTTATAATATTTAATACATCATTTCAATATCAAATATATTTATTTCCTGCTTCTCCAGCTACCTTTTAAGTCTTTAATTACATCTTTTTCATCTTAAACTCTTATCTTCACTGTGCCAACTTAGCATATATGAATATTTTTATATTTTTTTGGATCAATCATATTTCATTTTAATTCCATAGCAGCAATAATACTGAACACAAGAATGTATTCAATAATACTGCTGAATAATGGAATTATTATTCATTGATACTACAATAATAACAAGAGAAATTAATACTAACTTTTATGGTATGTTAAAATTTACTCTTTTAGGGGCTGGGGATTTAGCTCAGTGGTTCAGCCGCCTGCCTTGCAAGCACAAGGACCTGAGTTCGATCCGCCATACCAAAAAAACAAATTTATTCTTTTAAAATAAACAACATAAAAGTTCATTGTTTTGGAGAATTTAAGGAATTTAAAATAACATTTTCACAAATAAAGATCCTTTAAAAGCAAAATCAACTATGATTAAAATTTAAGTGATTTGTTTGGGGGGATACCAGGGATCAAACTCAGGACCTTGTGCTTGTGAGGCAGGCAGCAGCACCACTGAGTTAAACCTCGGCCCCAGGGATATTTTATTATATCACAAAAATATGTTTGTGCAGACACTGACCACTCCAAAAGGTAAAATTATATGATAATATAATTCTACAACACATTCTTCTGAAACTTTAAGTGAGAAAAACATAGCTATACATTCTAAGTTCCTGGCTGCTGACTCTCAATGAATTACAATTAAAACATAAATAATTTATGCTTTAACAAGAAACATTCTATAATATAGTTCACACTGTACACTATGGAGTACAACTAATTCTGTATCACATAAAAAGCCTCTAGTGACACAGTAATAAAAATATTTGTATAATAATATGGAGATAAATATAAGGTCACTAAAATTCCTCATGCTTAGTTATCTAGACCATTTAAATTTTTTCATTTGTTATATTTAACAAACTTTTCTTTACATTAAATATACATGTTAATATCTTTTTCCCTGCTTAATAATGGGGTTTTTTTTAAATGAAAAAGCAGACCCTAGGGCTGGGAATGAAGCTTGGCAATAGAATGCTATGCAAAGCCCTAGGTTCAATCCCAGTAGCACAAAAAAGAGGAGGGACCCTATATTCTAGAATTATTTTTTCCAATAGAAGAGGCAAAACTGTACATCTAGAGTTAAAAATCTTCAAAACAAATTCATTAAGAATTGCTTTGACTATAGGGCCGGGGATTTAGCTCAGTGGTTTCGCCGCCAACGACCTGAGTTCGATCCCCAGTACCAAAAAAAAAAAAAAAAAGAAATGCTTTGACTATAGTTCTAAACTTGTTGACTGTAGATCTTGTGGACTACAGATCTTGTGAAGGAAATCAACTGGAAGTAAAAATAGAAACACTAGGGCCAGGGATTTAGCTCAGCGGCAAAACACCTGTCTGGCAGGCACAAGGTCCTGAGTTCAATCCCAGTACCCAAAAAAAAAAACCAAAGAAAAATAGAAACACTATGTGGAAAGAGAATAATCTATGATATACATAATATTTTTTCTAATAAAATGGAGTTCTCATACTGAGAAAGATTGAGAAACATTTCTTTAAGCAAAAATGGTAACGAGTAATATTAACAAGAATGAAAATAATGACTAAGATAATAAGAAACATTAATAATGTTAGTAATAGTAGAAATGAGTACTGTTAACAGTATTAAATTTTGATTCAGTCCTATACTTGGTAACATTCTGTCATCCTTGACATCTCCATTGCCATCTCCTCCAAATTCTGTTCTTAATCTTTCAATCTATTCCATTTTCTCAGCAACGATATATCTCAACTACATTGTAGCAATAATTCTTCCTGCTTTCTCCATGTTTCTCTAGTGTTTTCCCCTCTTCATTCTATCCTCTACACGTAGACAGAATGACTTAAACCACGCACATAAGAGCTAGTAAAATACCCCCACCTTTAAGCTGAATGACTCCCTTCAGGCTTAAGAAATAAATTTCAAATGCAATCCCTTTCAAGTGATCCCAAAACATCACAATCTTATATCATTTCTTCTGAGCAAAAATCATACTTGTGTCTCCAAATTTGTAAAAATTTGAGAAATATGTAAACATTAGTTTTCAAACTTGGGGGCCAATCATTATAATAAGATGTTTACTTCCAAGTAGTGTTCTATTTAAAAAAAAAAAAAAAACACTATGAAAACAGCCCAAGAAACTGCAAGAGAAACACTCATACTTTAAATCAAAGATATCCACTCATGAAAGGAACAGAATGACACACTAGAAGAGACAGGAAGACCACAAGAGTAAACAAAAGAGACAGAAAAGAGAACCAGGAGCTTATAATCTGACAAATGGCATATCTTCATAAGGGAAAAGACGGATCACTGAAATAAAAAATATTGGTACTAACTGGGCACAAATAAAGCTTAATCATTTCCTCCCTTATGTACAACAAAAATAATTCCAGGTAAATTCAAGATTCAATATATGAATTTAAAATACAGACTAAAATATGAGCAATACAATCTTGAAGTAAGACTAGCCTTTCTGAGATCACTATAGGAAAAATCATAAATAAGTACATAATTAATACTTTTAACTATATAAAATACCATAAATAAAATTATAACACCAGTTGAAAACTTATTTACATGATATATAAATGACAAAATAATGCATAATACATAAATCTAAAATTCCATAAAAAACAAACATCTCCAAATATGAACATAATTTGTAAAAAAAAGAGTTTAAAATAAAAGATATACAAGATAATCAAACAATGCAAATAAGTAATAATATAGTATCTTTTGCTTTTGACATTGATAAAGATAAAAAAGACTCAAAACTTTGTGTGCAAGGCTGGGCATTGTGGTGCACACCTGTAATCCTAGCACTTGGGAGGCTGAGGTAGGAGGATCACTGAGAGTTTGAGCCCAGCCTGGGCTACATAATGAGTTCAAGACCAGCCTGAACTACATAGTGAGATCCTGTCTCCAAAAAAAGCCACAAAAAATAAATAAATAAATAAACTTTGCATGCCAATGGTGTTATGGGAAAACCAGAACTCTCAATACTGTTGTGTGTGCTGTATAAAGTAAACTTCACAAATGGTAATACTTTCCAAGTGTAAAACATATAATCTTATTTCTTAATTTAATCAAAGGGATAACTGCACAATGTACAACTTTCTGTAGAAACATGTAAACTATATGAAATATAATATTGCTTCAAATAGAGAAAAAAATCAATATTCATCAATAGATTTGCTAAGTTACGGTAAATGCATACAGTGTAGTAGTAACTAAATACAAATAAAAGTATAGATCTATTTTATCGACATAGAAAGACATTTGTTACCCACTGTCATAAAAATTTATAATAA